CCCACAGTCATTCGCGGTAAGAGAAGAGAACTTCTTTCTAGAAGGGAGCTCCTTTGCCGCTAGGTAACCCGAGTCTCAATCCAGAGAAGAGAATCCCCCCCACAAGCCCAACAATGTATGAGTTCTCTACTTCGCCATGAGAAACAAGAAAACTCCCTCCAAGTTCACGACAAAGATGAGGGCTCCTTTACCTCGGGCTCCCTTTTTTGGCAAAGGCGCAAGCTCCCGAACATCTCTTCCTCCTCTTCAAAACATGGAAGAGAGCTTACGATCAAGCTCCAAACTTCAAACCTTGAAAGGGAAGTCTAGTCCTCCTTGCGGCCTTGAAAGGAACATGAGAAGCCCTCTACCTCATCCTCTGAGACAAGAACAGAGCTCACTCCAAGTTACGCTTGGTAAGAGAAGAAAGCTTCTTTCTAGAAGAGAGCTCCTTTACCTGTTGCAAAGTCTTCATCCTAATCTTAAAAAGACGGAAGAGAGCACGCTACTAGTAGATATTGACAGAGCTCCCTCCTTCTTCCAAACAACGTATAAGTTCTATACCCCGTCCTCAACAACAAGAAAGCTTCCTCCGACGTAGTAGTATTGCGAAAGAAAGAAAAGGGCCCCACCCCAAAATAGCAGACCGGCCCCTCCAACTTCACGAGAAGAAGGCTCCAGTCGACAAGAAGAGACCTGCTTTGTCTTTTTTGGCAAGGGGATTAAAAGAGCTCCCGACAATCTCCTCTTCCTCTTCAGAAGATGGCGGAGAGCTTACGCTTAAGAGGAAAAGATGGAGCTGCCCAGACCTTCAAAAAGAACACTCTGGTCCCCGGGACAGCTTTAAAGAACGAGAGGATAAAAATCCTCTACGTCATGTTCAAATAAGAAAAGAGCTTCCTCCAAGTTACTCTTGGCAAGAGAAAAAAGCCCTTTTCTAGCAAAGAACTCCCTTACCTCTTGGTATGTCGTCTCTTATTCTTGAGAAGATTGAACAGACCTCCCTCCTTTCAAGACAGGACCGAGCGCCCCCAGATTTCAACAACTATGCAGAAGTTCTTTACTTCTCTACCTCATCGTAGAAAACAACAGGAGAGCCCGCTGCAATGTCATGAAAACAAAAACATCTCCTCTTCGTCTTGATCGGCGAGAAGAGAGCTCCTTTGTTAGAGGAAGAGATACCCTGGCAAGAGATGACAGAGCTCCCTTAGCTTCCAAACAGAAGAGCCCTCTACTTCATGCCCGACAGGAAGAGACTGAGAGCTTCCTCCAATCTAATCAGACAGAAGAGAGCTTCGTCTCGGACAAGGACAAACAGGCCCCTGCAAGAAGAAACTTCTTTTCTCTTTAGGTAAAGAAAGGAGGTCCTGACTATCCCCTGTAATTTTCAAAACATGGAAGAGGGCTTGACATGCTCAAGAAGAAAAGCTGGAGCTCCCCCCAACCTCCCTTCAAGTTTCAGAAGGACGGAGAACTCCTCCACCCCATGCTCTCACACAAGAAGAGGGCTCCCCCAGTTATTCGTGGTAAGATAGGAAAACTTCATTGTAGAACAGGGTTTCAAGAGTGAAGAGACCTCACTCCTAGCCCCCAAACAACGTATGAGTTTTATATCTAGGTATGGGAAACAAGAAAAGAACTCCCTCCAAGTTCACGACAAAGATGAGGGCTCCCGTACTTCTGGGTAGAAGAAGAGATCCCCTGCCAGGTCCTGTGCCCAACAACTCAGAAGAGAGGCCCCTCTGGTTTCTTGAGACAGAAGACAGCTCTGTTTACTTCTCTGTCGACAAGAAGAAGACTCCCTTTTTTGGCAGAGGTGCAAGCTCCCGACCATCTCCTCCTCCTCCTCCTCCTCCACCGCTTCCAACTTCACGAGAAAGAAAAGGGCTCCGTTTACCCTCAGTCGACAAAACAAACATAAGAGAGCTCCTGACTACCTCCTCTTCCTCTTCAGAATATGGAGGAGAGCTTACGCCTAAGGGAAAGGATGGAGCTGCCGAGACCTTCAAAAAGAAGAACCTGGTCCCCGAGACAGCTTTCAAGAAGCGCCGCCAGATTTCAGTAACTACGCATGAGTTCTCTACCTCTCTACCTCATCAAAGAAAACAACAAGAGAGCCCCCTGCAATTTAATGAGAACAAAAAAGAGCTCCTCTTCGTCTTGGTCGGCAAGAAGAGAGCTCCTCGGTTAGAGCAAGAGCTCCTAGCTCCCCTGGCTTCCAAACAGAAGAGCCCGCTGCCTCATGCTCGACAAGAAGAGACCTAGAGTTTCCTCCAATCTAATGAGACAGAAGAGAGCTTCGTCTCGAAGAACGACAAACAGGCCCCACCAAGATATCGACAAAGAAGAGAACCTTTCTATTTAGGTAAGAGAAGGAGATCCTGACTACCCCCTTTACCTCTTCAAAACATGGAAGAGAGCTTGTCATGCTCAAGAAGAAAGGGTGGAACTCCCTCCAACCCTCAAACAAAGAAGTCTGGTCCTTCCCTGAAGTTTCAAGAGGAAAGGGAGCTCCTCCACCCCATGCTGTTCCATGAAGACAGCTCCCCTCAGTCATTCGCGGAAAGAGAAGAGAACTTCTTTCTATAAGAGAGCTCCTTTGCCGCTAGGTAACCCGAGTCTCAACCCGGAGAAGAGTGAAGAGATCTCACTCCTAGTAAGAAAGGACAGAATCCCACCCAACAAGCCTGAGAATGAGTTCTCTACCTAGTTATGAGAAACAAGAAGAAAAAGCACCCTCCAAGTTCACGACAAAGATGAGGGCTCCTGTACCTCTGGGTAGAAGAAGAAATCCCCCGCCGGGTCCTGCACTCAACAGCTCCGAAGAGAGGCCCCTTTGACTTCTTGAGAAGGAAGCCCACTTCTCTGTCGACAAGAAGAAAACTCCTTTTTTGGCAGAGGTGCAAGCTCCCGAACATCTCCTCCTCCTCTTCAAAACATGGAGGAGAGCTTACGATCAAGCTCCAAACTTCAAACCTTGACAAGGGAAGTCTGGTCTCCTTGCGGCCTTGAAAGGGACATGAGAAGCCCTCTACCTCATCCTCTGAGACAAGAACAGAGCTCACTCCAAGTTACGTTTGGTAAGAGAAGAGAGCTTCTTTCTAGAAGAGAGCTCCTTTACCCTTTGCAAAGTCTTCATCCTAATCTTAAGAAGACGGAAGAGAGCACGCTACTAGTAGATATTGACAGAGCTCCCTGCGTCTTCGAAACAACGTAAAAGTTCTGTGCCTTTTCTTCGACAACAAGAAAGCTTCCTCCAAGGTACTGAGAAAGAAGAGGGCCCTGTACCAAAATTAGCAGACAAGCCCCTCCAACTTCACGAGAAGAAGGCTCCGCTTATCCCTCAGTCGACAAGAAGAGACCTCCTTTTTTTTTGGCAAGGGGAATAAGAGAGATCCTGACTATCTCCTCTTCCTCTTCAGAAGATGGAAGAGAGCTTACGCTTAAGAGGTGTGAAATCTGTCATAAGCGCGACATGTCGATCATGTGCATGCTGTTTCGACCTCGCTGCCTGGAGGGCTCGAGGTCCGAGGCGTGAGGGTCTTGGGAACGTGTCGGACACGTATGGACCGGTGAGCTGGGAAAAGAGGGTGTGGCACCTTCGACAGGCTTTCGCTGACAGGGTCAGGTTCATTTCTGGTCTTTCGACTTACTGGAATTGGGACATTCTGGTTTCTTCATCTACATTGATCAGGGATCAACAGCTGCCAGTGGGAACTCTACCGAGTTCACACTGGTAGCGGAGCCTACTGACTTCGCTACCCGGCAGAGGACTGCTGATTGCGTAAAAGTTGGGATCCAGGGAGGATGCCTCCGAAAGCATCGTCTCCGGAGGAGGCTCCAGCTGCAGCCAGCGACGAGAAGGGCTCCTTGCCTTGGGCGTCCATACCAAGGTATGTGCCAGGTGTTACCGACACCACGGAGTACGCCAAGAAGCTCAAGTTCCTGGCAGATGTGTGGCCTAAGGAGCATTTGAGTGCATTGGGACCAAGGGTTGCTCTTCTTTGCGAGGGTACGGCTTTCAAGAAGATTTCCCGATTGGATGCCTCAAAGCTTAAGGTCAACGACACTACAGGAGTGGAGTTGATAGTCACGACTTTGGGCGGGGCCTGGGGTCAGACTGTCCTAGAGGAAAAGTATGAGCAGTTTGAGAAGGCTATCTACGGAACAGTTCAGCGGAATGATGAGACTCATGACTCCTTTTTGGCTCGTCATGACGTTCACTTTGAGGAGTTGCTAGCTCAGAACATATCGTGGGAGGAGCTTCGATCGTACATTCTACTTCGTCAATCCCAGCTGTCTAGTGATGACAAGAAGCGGATTGTGGTTGAGCACAGTGGCAAGTTGACCTATGCGAAGGTGAAGTCCTCCATCCGATTACTGGGTTCCAAGTTCTTTGGAGAGCTTCAGGGCAACCGTACGACCAACAGAACCCGAGTCTATGATGCCCAAACCGCTGATGAAACCAACGCCGATGACTATGACAGAGCCTTCCAAGCAGCCGTGGTGCCTGGACCTTCCAACTTGGACGAGAACGACAACGAGTTGGAGCCCGAGTACCTGGAGGCGCTGATTGCGGCCGAGGATCCGGATGCCATGATGGTTCAGGGGTTTGAGGAGGAGCTAGAAAAGGCTTTTTCCAGGAAACACCAGATCTTCAAGAGGCCTTGGTTTCCTACTTAGAAGCCAGACAGAAGCTGCTATCGAAGAAGCGATCCCGCGGTTTCTGGCCTGTGAGTGCCGGTAAAGGCGGCTTCAAAGGTTCAAGAGGCCCCAAAGGCCGCGGCAAGGGCGGCAAAGGGGGTCGAGATCAGCTTTTGGCCCGCATAGCGCGCAGCCACTGCAGGATTTGCGGAGCCAAAGGACATTGGAAAGCGGAATGTCCGCAGAAGGGCAAGGCCGCCGCAGCCGCGGAGGCGACTACCACAGTTGCCGAGGTCTTGAACGACGTCTCCTTCTCGGTTGCCGCTACCCAATCTGACAACGCCGATGAGGTGTATGATCAAGTGCCTGAAGCTGCCATGAGCCTTGCCGAGGCCCATGCGTGCTGGGTTCCCTTGAACAAAGAGGTTGTGGTTGCTAGGCTTGGGAAGCTAGTTGCTAATCTCCATAAGCCGGGAGTCCTTAGAGCCTCAACCCCCAGGCCGGTGCCATGTGGGGCAACGCCCTTGACTGAGCCTGCTTCCGTGACCCATGCTGAGAAGTCCGAAGAGCGAGTGGACATGCCAGCAACCGCCCTGTTTTGTGCCACGGCGACCGATGCAATCCTGGATACGGGTGCTAGTCGTTGTGTGATGGGCAAAAGCCTACTCCCAGGTTTTCTGCAACAGCTCAGCGAGACCGTGCGTGCACAGGTAAAGGTAATGCAAAGTGCGGTTAGGTTCCGGTTTGGGAATAATCAGACCCTACTTAGTGATCGCCGAATTCTGTTGCCTTTCAAGACTGCGTCTCGCAAAACGCTGTGGCTGAGCATCGAGGTGGTGCCCGGGAAGACTCCTTTACTCTTCAGTAAGAAGGCAATTAAGCAACTAGGCGGCTTAATTGACACTGAAAAAGATGTGGTGCACCTCAGACGGCTCCCGAAGAGCCTACCGATGCGTGTCGGTCCAACCGGACTCTATCTGAGATAGACCTGGCCCGCCTGTGCGAGGAAAGCAATCTGGCCCAGGAGTGCATGAGTGCGAGTGAAGACAACTGCCAGTTAGCTCCTCAGCAGGACCCGTGCATGCGTGTAACCCAGACTCCCGTGTGTAGCAAGATTCACCAATGTACAGGAGGTTTGAATTCTGCTGGGGGTTTGAAGGTGTGGAATTCAGGAGGTCGAAGCTTCAAGAAACAAGCTGACGTTAATGTATCCCTACAGTCACCCGAAGGGTCCACTGTGCCCCAAGTGAAGTGTGTGAAGCCTGATCAAGAAACCATGCCAGCAGCCGTGAGTGATACCACTCAAGATTCAGAAGCCTTTGCGTCCGAGCTCTCTAACCCTTCGGAAATCCACAATGGCTCCGAAGCGTGCGCCGGTGGTCCCCACCCTTCCCGAGACTTCGGGAATGAGCCTCAGCGCCAGGTTCGGCCGACTGCAGGACCCCTCAACTGCCCTCACGAAGGAGGAAGTGGAAACCATGGACTTAGAGCAGCTGGGACAGACCAAAATCATGTTCGGCAAAGCCATGGAGGGCAGGACGTTCGTGGACACAGTGCAGAACGAGACCGAATGGGTCCGTTGGATCATCGATCACATGTCCACAAGCTCGAAGATGGAGCATGTGGCATTCCTCACATATGTGAGACGCTACGTGGAGGAGGCAGAGACCGTGGAGTCCGTGTTGGTGAGCACGGAGGGCACATCCGGTTCCGAAAAGCTCGGTGCCCGAGCCGCTCCGAAGCCTCGCCCGAAGCCTCAGCCCGAGGCCGAAGTGTGGGATGTGATCGGCCCCGAGGGTTCCGGATCCGATCCCGGCCTTCAGGAACAGGTGACGGTGCTCGGAGAGCGCCTGTCGCAGATGGAAGGTCTCATGCAACAATTGATCCAACACCTTCAGCAGGGCTCGCCGGGTGTTTGAGTGAGATGCAATCCTGTAAGGAGGAGTTGGAAGCCCTAATTACCCAGAGTAGAGCAGTAGTTCCTGACGTTGAAGAGGTGGCCCAAAGTCTCCTAGAGCAAGACGCCTCTCTAGCTAAGATCAAGGCTTACCTGAAGTCGGTTCCCTGGCATCTCCTCTCTCCAAACAGCCCTGGAGCGCAGAATGGTGTCGAGGAGGCCCCAGCCACTAATGCAACAAAATCTAAAGTCTCTGCCTACTTGATCTTTGGAATGTACATGCATGGAGGGATGACGGGATTGACCCGTGTCGCCAAGGCTTATCCAAGCTTGACTCAGCTCCTAACGAAGGTGATAAGTAGCACAAAGCCCGATCATGAGTATACGTCCATCGGAGTATCTCTGAACACCTTGGCCCCACCCCACAGAGATAGCTACAACTCCCGAGAGATACCCAATCTTGTGGTGCCCATAGAGTACCCAACAGATGGAGGAGAAATCTGGGTCAATCAACCTCCTCGGGCCAAACAGGTGGCTTTGGATCGGATGTGTGGCCAAGAGATCAAGCCTGGGTCTCTTCATGCGCTTAAGCCTGGAATGCAACTAGATCCCCATGTGTGGCATGCAAGCCAACCGTGGCAGGGGAATCGCCTCTTAGTCATTGCATTTTCCCTAAAGCCCCTAGAGAAGGTTACCCCCGAGGACATTACGTGGTTGAGAAATTATGGTTTTAATCTCCCACGAAAACACAATAGGTCCCAGGGATGCCCTAAACCTCAGTATCTGGCCGAATCCCCCATGTCCAGCGGTGCAACGGAGACCCCAGGAAGGGAATCTGCCCTGCGTGCAGAGCTAGAATCCTCAGAGTATCTGCTCCAGGAGTCAGCTTTGCGCGACAGTGCCAATACTGCCGCAGCCGAGTGCAATGAAACGTTTGCCAAAGCCGAAAAGACAGCTTGGGATGTGTTCCAGGACTCACAGCTAGCCTACCAACGTCCGACCGTTGAGCAACTTGATGTCCTAGAAATATATGCAACGGAGGATAGTCGACTAACTCAGGTTATCTCCGACCTAGGAGGGAAAGCACGGCGCTTTACTTTTCGGGATGGAGACCTTAGGACAATTGAGGGTCAGCGTAGGCTGTGGGACACTCTTCAAGAGACTCAGCCCAAGCATGTCTGGATGAGTCCCGACTGCCGTGCATGGTGTTCGTGGAACACTTTGAACGCCTCCAAAGGCCCTGAACAGGCTGCTCGCATTCAACAAATGCGCCAGGATGAGCTTGTTCATCTACAGTTGTGTGCCCAGGTCTTCCAATGGCAGGTAGATCGGAGTCGGCACTTTCATCTTGAACAGCCCGCGCTGTCCAAAATGTTGAGCAATCCCACCATGCAACCCATCGTCCAAGGATGTCGTAAGGTTCTCGTCGACATGTGTGCTTTTGGATTAAAAACACCAGTTTCGCAAGTAGCCATTCGCAAGCGTGTTTGCCTGTTAAGCACTTCGCCCGAGCTGATACGAAGCCTAGTTCAGAAGCAGTGCCCGGGACACTTACAGCATCAGCCGATTTCCGGAAGACCTCGCCAACTGGGCGGAATGACAATGGCCCAGTTCGCTGGATCATACTGCCAAGGTTTTGCGCAACATGTTGCGCAGAGTCTGCTGTCGAAGCCTCCCGAGTTGAGTCTTGCCGCTGAGGAAGCAATCCCCTTGACCCGCAAACGTCAGAAGACGTCCTTCCATAAGGCGGTTCCCATAGTTCGGTTTGGTGCCCAAAAGAGAACCAGCAGCCCATCACTAGAAGGTCAACAAAGAAGCCAAGCTCAACCTCGGACGGCTGAGCCCGAGGATCGTGCTGCCTCCGACCTGTTGACTGCGAGCGATTGGAAGCCGGTCTTTGATATGGTTCCCCAATTTGCCAACAAAGTAGCACCCACCTTAATCCCTCCGAACAGTCCCATCGTGGGTAACATTCAGCAATTGCTTCCGTCGTTCAAGGTTCTTCAGACCTTTGCTGGCCGAGGGAGTAAGCAACTGCATTGGCCGTTGGGTGCTTTGCCCCAAACTGTTGCCCCCTGGAGAATCAGCATTTCGCAGAAGACCCGCTCAGATGGCCAGGTAGAATTTACTAGCCTCAGCCCTGAACTCCGGAGTTCAGTAAGTACGGACCAAAAACGAAGACGAATCAATCCGGTCGATTACTTGATCACCGTACTTGCACAGAAAAGCGATGATAGTACTCATCCCACGAGTCCCCAAGAATCAACAGCTTCGGAGCAGTTGAGTGAACCAAACCTCGAAGGATGGGCCCCGCCTCCAACACCGCTGCATGGACCTGCCTTTCGGAGCTTAGATAAGGAATCCAAGATGATGTTGATTCGAATTCACAAGAACTTAGGTCATCCTGCCCCCAATGTGCTAGCACAGCATCTGAAGGCAGCTGGTCAAGCGCAGGCTCTCGTAGATGCCGCGCTAGACTATCAATGTGACACGTGTCTTGAATCAACTGAACCCAGACATCAACGACCAAGCAAGCTCCCTGAGCCCCGTGAGTTCAATGATGTTGTAGGAATAGACGGTTTCTTTTTCAAGAGTCAATCAGGATATCGAGCTTATGTGGTTCATGCGCTTGATGAAGCCAGCTGTTTCCATCAGGGCAGGAGAACACAGAGTCGTCATGCCACGGAGGCCATGCAAACTCTTAGCGATTGTTGGTTCAGTTGGGCCGGTAACCCGCGTAAGGTGTATCTTGACCCAGCCGGGGAGTTTCGTTCAGAGCAGATTCTGGAGAAATTTCAGGGTTCAAACATAAAAGCCTTCGTGACAGCGGCAGCCTGGCAGAGGGGGAGAATCGAGCGTCATGGAGACATAGCTAAGGATATGCTGGCCCGTTTAGACAATGAAGCTCCCCTTGTGAATGATGCCGCATTTGATCGTGCACTGACGCAAGTCTTCCAAGCTAAGAATGCTCTTGTTCGCCATCTAGGATACTCCCCTGAGCAAATCGTGCTAGGAAAGTCGGTTCAGGTTCCGGGAAGCATTACAGCTGATGAAGAGTTGTCATCGCATACTCTAGCTTTGGGAGACGAACTGGAAGCCGAGCTTCACCGACAACGCCTTGAGCTTAGGTGTGCTGCCCGAAAGGCATTCTTTGAAGCCGATAATTCCCAATCCATCCGAAGGGCAATTCTCAGGCGTAGCACACCTGCACGTGGTCCTTATGTGCCTGGGTCTTGGGTCTTGTACTGGGTGAAACGGTCATCACCAAATCGTTTAGCTGCCGGGAGATGGCACGGACCGGCGAAAGTGATCTGTCAGGAAGGACAGTCGGTCGTGTGGGTCACGCATGGAACAACCGTGTTACGATGCCCACCGGAGCATCTTCGGCCTGCATCCCTGCGTGAGTGGCAACAGTTAACTTCGTCTTCCCTTGAAGCCGTTCCCGCCCGTGCTGGAGGTGCCAGTTCCTTTGTAGACCTTACCGGTTCTGAGCTAGCTCCCGAAAGTCTCCCGCAGCCTTCCCGAAACCATGCGAGCACCGACATACCGATTCCTATTTCAACAATTTCAAGTACCGCCCCGGCAGCTCGAGAATCAAGTTCTCAGGACGAAGACCTTGCGCAGCCCGAACAAGAGCTGACTCCACAGGTAAGCATCCAAGGTCCTGAAAACTTAGATCACTCTGGAGCGCCTGAAGTTGAGCGCGGTCCCGCTGCTCCTTCAAGCTCTATGCCATCGAGTGGCCCTGAGCCCCCAACTCCATCAGAGATTCCCGCGCCTTCTAGTGTAGATGCTTCCTCAATCCCGGTACCCGAATCTGATGAAGGACTGTATGGAGAGCATGTCTTGCTGGCATCTGAAGCTCTGACTGGGCAAAGCGATGATGAGCCAGAGCTTCTCTCATTTACCACTCTGGTGACGGATGCTGTTGCGGAGGGTCCACCGCTTGCCGAGGATAATTTACCCTATGTAGAGCAACCCCTGGTGTGCGCAGAGGATCAAGCCTTTTGCTTAGAAATTCCCGTGAAGCCAGCCGACTTGCGCACTTGGGCTCGCGAGTCATCCCCTGAGCAACTCATCACATTGGCA